GGCATCTTCTGCAGTCTGTGGTTAGCTCAACTAGCTATGCTACTTTTGTCCCAGGGTATTCCAGCCTTGTGGTTGCCCTCTACTAGTGCTGTGCAGAGGCTATCGCTGAGGCTGCTGTGAGACTGTAGAGTTTCCCCCTGCACCACGGAGCCGGGTCGCTGGAACTCCACCCAGCCCCAGTCCTCTCTCCTAGGATCTCGGGGAGCCCCTTGCCCTGTCTGGGGGATAGCCAGTGACCTTGAGTTCAGTGGCAGTTGGCCGGCTGCTGCCCTGCCTGGGATTCTCCTCTTCGGGACCCTCCCGGCATTGTGAATGCTGGGCAGGGCCTCTCCACTAATGGCAGGCAGAGACTTTACCTGCTGCCCGGATGGAACTCTGGAGTTCCCCCCCCCACCCCCGGGCTGCGGAGCTGGCCACTGGAGCTCCACCCAGCCCCAGTCCTCTCCCAGGAGATCTTCGGTAGTCCCGAGCCCCTCCAGGGTGAAAGCCCGGTCAGTGGAGACGGTGGCGGCAGCTGGCAGGCCGCTGCACCATTTGGGATTCTCTCCGGGAGCCTCCTGGCATTGTGGATGCTAGGCGGGGCCTCTCCGCTAATGGTGGGTAGGGGTTTTCCCTGTCGCCTCTGGTGCGCAACTCTGGAGCTTCCCTCTGGGCTTAGGTGCAATTGCGGGGGGCTTAGGTAGGGCTCTGGTCACCTGTCTCCACCGTCGCTCCTCTGGTGTGTGCTCCCTCCTGCCCTTGGTGTGTGGCAATGTTCTGGAGGCGTCCGCTGGAAGAAAGCCGCTTGCAGTCACTAGGCTGTTTGGGGGTCAGGGTCAGAGAGTTTTCACCTATCTCCACCTCCTCCTGGAGGGAAGTCCATCTGCCTTCCGATGTATAGCAGCTTGGGTCTTCAGGTGTCCTGAGATGCTATATGGATATCCTTTGTTAAGCGATGAATGTCCTATTAGTTGTAGATTCGAAGGGGGAGAGACAAAGAAGACTACTCACGCCACCATCTTGGATCTTCTCCAAATTTACTATTATTTTTATGGTATCCTTTTTCTTTTTTTGGTGAGGAAGATTGGCCCTGAACTAACATCTGTTGCCAATCTTCCTCTTTTTTTCCCTCCCCAAAGCCCCAGTACATAGTTGTATATCCTAGTTGTAGGTCACTCTAGTTCTTCTATGTGGGACACCACCACAGCATGGCTTGATGAGCAGTGTATAGATGCATGCCCAGGATCCAAACCAGCGAACCCTGGGCCACCAAAATAGAGTGAGCAAACATAACCATTCAGCCACCAGGCTGGCCATTTAAATTCCTTCTTAAAGTGCATCCCAAGACTAAGCAGCTTCAGAAATCCCTCTCTAGCTGTCTCCAGCTGAGAAATGAATCCAACCATTTAGCATCCTCACCTGGCACGTAGAAACGCTGCTTTAGTGTGTTAATGATCTTCTTTGTGTAGCCTGTCCCCCTGAGAGTGAAAGGCACTGGAGAGTGGCACTGCACAGATTGCATTTTGGAGTGTCGAGTATTAGCACAGACCACAGAGGACAGACATCCAAAAAATGCTGATCTGGTGAATAATTGAACAAGGGTCTGCAATTCACAGTTTACAAAGCTCATTTACACTCATTTTCTCCTCAAAGACCCCGAGGTGACCCAGCCCCTAACAGGAAAGCCAGCACCCCAGTCAGGTCTGTGGAATAACTTTGGGGGCCCTACAACCCTCAGCCTTGCTCTGTGGAACCCCAGGAAGTACGACAGTCACCCACAGACCACAACAGACTTGAAGGTGGGAGACGCTGCCTGTCGGGGACTAGAGTGACATTAGGAATAAATTTCCTGGAGCGGGTAGAGATCATTCCTGACTCCCCTGAGAGGGGAAACGATTCAGTTCAACAAACATTTACTGACCATGGGCTGGGGACTATGCTAAGCCCTAGGGTGACAGCAGTGAAAAAAAACATACAGAGTTCCTCAAAAACTAATGTTTGTATCAGGAATGCTACAAATGCAAAAACAGGTAGAAAGGACGTTTAATGTAACTGAGAGTCTAGGAAATCCCCTCAGAAGAAGTGATGTTTAACTTAAAGGTAAGCAGAGGTTAGCCAGTGAAGGGTGCAGGGGCTATGAAGGAAAAGGACTCCCGGCAGAGGGAACAGCATGTGCAAAGGCCTCAAGTCAGAGACACATTATTGGAGAAACTGAAAGAAGTCTGTTACGATAGAAAAAAATGTGAGGAAGAGAGACAGACAGAAACCAGATCATGTGGTCGTATAAACCATGTGGAGAATCCTGAATTTCATTCTGAGAACCATGGCTTCTGAAAGGGTATTAAGCAAAGGGAGACACAATCAGACATTAATCTTTAAAACAGTATTTTGATTACAGTGAGAAGAATAGACTGAGAAACATGGCTGGCTAAGTCATCCAGATCAACCCTCCCACTGAAAACACTCAAAAGTATTATATAAATATAAACACCAACTTCTTCAAAGGTATCAAAGATTTGACAAGATTATAAGGAATTACCTAGCCAAACATTAAGAGAAAGCAAGATAAGCAGAACACTAAAACTACTTTTTTTTTTTTGGTGAGGAAGATTGGCTCTGAGCTAACATCTGTTGCCAGTCTTCTTCTTTTTCCTTGAGGAAGATTGGCCCTGAGGTAATATCTGTGCTAATCCTCCTCTATTTTGTATATGGGACCCTGCCACAGCATGGCTTGATGAGTGGTGTATAGGTCCATGCCTGGGATCCAAACCTGTGAACCCTGGGGTGCTGAAACAGAGTGTGTGGACCCAACTACTACACCATCAGGCTGGCTCCACTAAGACTAATTTTGCCCTGAGGTAATTTACCAACCCAGGTGAACTTGAGCCTTAATTTTGATGCCCTCATAGAGCATAGGGGACAGAATTTAAAACCCAGAGCTTCACAGTGTAGGTAGTTGTCTCAATCTACTTTAGGCTCCTCTACAAAGCAGAGCCAGAGGCAGCACTAAGGTGATTGGGAGGTGCAGGCCCAGAGCAGTGAAAGTGAGGGATGCGAGCTAAGAAAAGAGACTCAGCGATGTAATGCAATTCACTGCCATGCCGACTACTGCCACACAACCAGCTGGAAATAGACACAGAGGTTGCTCAGCGGATGGGTTTAAGGAGCATATGGGCCTTCTCTGAAAGGGCTGTAAGAATGACCCACACCTCGGAGTCATCCACATAAGGAAGGAAAGACGGAGGAACTTACCTGTGCTGCTCCTCCTCATCTTCCATTTCCCACTGGTCATGTTTCCTCCCACTGGGAATTAACATCCTGCACTTGTGAGTTGCCTCATCCGGTCCTCAGAGGCCAACCAGGAACCATATCCTATGCCTTGAAGTGTGGTGATTTACCTAAATTCAATAAAGTAGACAGCCCAGCATGGATAGAGGGCCAATAGAGAAGAAAAAGGAGGAGGGATTGTGAGAAAGTGCGTTAAGCTGCTGTCTGGTGCTGGAGTCTCATAGAAGATCCTCCTCCTATAAAACTGAGAGCTCAGCGTGCTACATGGCTGGGATAAGGTGAACCAACATTTTCCCACCTGGCTCTCCTCCCCTTCTCTCCAGGGACTGGAACGAAAGCATCCTTGGCCCTGAGCAAAGCAGGCTTCAAATAAAGCTCCCTGAGAGGTTGTAGCTACAAGCTGCCTTTCTCAGGGATTTGCAGCCCCAAATCATCTCAGGTTTATCTTCCAACCTTCAAGCTTGAAATTCAGTTGTAAGTGTTTTTAGACTAATAAAGCCTATTGGCATCTGGCAAAGCTAATGCAAACCCCTCTGGAAGAAGTCACCTTCATTGTACCTCTCCACGTTTTTCAAATGTAATTTTCCATACAACTGAGCAGCTGACAATAACGAATAACCATGTACTATGAGTGAGAACCAGCAGAAACAGATGCGTGAAGACTTCATATGTTAGAATCATTACATGCAAACTATAGAAACTCTAAAAGAACCACATTTAACACTATGAAAGATAAGCTTTAAAATATATGTAGTAAAGAGGGAAACATTTTTAAAAACTTAGCAAGTCTAAAAAGATAGAACTTCTAGAAAAAATTCAACAATTGAAAGTTAACTTTTTTTTTTGCCAAGGAAGTTTTGCCCTGAGCTAATGTCTGTTCCAATCTTCCTCTATTTTTTAGTATGTGGGCTGCCAGCACAGCATGGCCACTAACAGAGTGGTGTAGGTCCGTGCCCAGGAACTGAACCTGGGCCACTGAAGTGGAGCATGCTGAACTTAACCACTAGGCCACGATGGCTGGCCCAAAAGTTAAAATTTTATGGACATATTTAACAGCATATTAAACTCACATAAAGAGATGATTGTTATGCTGAAAGACAAATAGAATAAATTAACCAGAATGCAGCACAAAAGACACAGATTTAAAAAATGAGAAGCTAAGAGATATGGAGGATACAGTGAGAAGATCTAGCACACATCAATCAGAGTTTTGGAAGGAGAAGTGAGAGATAATGGGACAAAAAGCAATGTTTATGAAAGTAATGTCTGAGAATTTTCTACAACTGATTAAAGACACCAGTCCACAGATTCAAACAGCCCAATTAATTTCTGGCATGACAAATAAAAGAAAATGCCAATCTTAGACACATTTTCATGAAAGTGCAGAATCCCAAAATATAGAGCATCTTAAGAGCAGCCAGAAAAAAAAGCATTATCTTCAAAAGAGTGATAGAGTAACACCTGGTTTATTAATGACTTCTTGACAGTTACAATGAAAGACAGAAAACAATGGAATTCTATCTTCAATGTGCTGACCATCTTATAATTCTATACAATGAATATATTGTCCAAAAACAAGGGCAAAATAAGGACAGATAGTCAAAAACTGACAGTTTGCCACTCATAAACACTCCCCAAAGAAAATTCTAGAAGACGCATTCCGGAGAGAATGTTTGAACTATAAGAAAGAATGACAAGCAAATGAAGTGGTAAATATGTGGGTGACCAACAGAGGCTGGGGAGGGGGGAAGAAAGGAAGGAAATGGTCATGGGGAGCCAGTGGTAGTTCTTGGACTAGGAAAATGGTGATCTTCCTGTTTGATGACAGGTCATAGAGGAGGTGGTTTACTGGTGACAATGGGTAAAGTGAGCTAAGCAAATCCCAAGGAAGAAAATAACTAACTGGAAAGGGAAAGTTACCTTTTAAGTGAGGATTTATTTTTGTAGGTGGACCCTTGCATTTTTTTTTCCCAAATAATTCTGCCACACTTCATAGACTTTTTCATTCTCCTTCAGAGAAGATGAGACAAAGTACTTGGGTGTGGGATGTGGAGGAGAAATGGGCTGAAATGTCTACAAAATTGGCTTAGCTTCCTCCTTCCTTTTACTAGTGAAAAATCCTGTCTCTTGTCAGGCTGTGTCCTTTAGGCCCACGGCCGGAGGACTGCTGACGAAGCCCTGAGGAAGCTCATGACCAGTCTTGTTTAGCTAGGAGGGCGGGAGGAAAACGTCGGGTGGCGCTGGACTCTGTGTTGCCGTGGTTGTTGTGGGCAACATCCCAGCTCGGTACCCACATTTTATTTGCTTCAGCTCATACTTGGGAGGTCAGGGAAGAGCAAAAGGAAGGTAAAGGATTTGCATCTACTGAACAAACCTTCGGCTAGTCCTCAGATCAGCTTCCCCTTCTTCCCTACAGGTGAAATTGAGATATTGGAAGACATTCGGTTCTGATCCGGTGAGTCCTCAAGGAACCAGCCCTGCACTGAGAGGGGACGGCTCTATCTGAGACTTTGGTGGTGCTTTGGTTTTGAACAATGTGCTCTCCAATTCATGGATCTCTTAAATCTTTTAGAAAAAGTGGCTCCTCATAAATTTTTTTTTTCAGTGACAGGGAAGATAAGGAGCTGAAGAAGCACATAAGGGAGGAGTTGGGAAGCAAACACGTGAATAACTACAGGAGAACAGAGATGAGTCAGGCCTCCAGAGAAGCTTGGATTAAATTAATTAGGAAAGCCAGAGGGGAACGGTTTGAGATGGAGGGAGTAACCCTGTTTGGGAAGATAGAAGAAGAAAGGGCAACAAGCGTGGTGAGGTCAAGGAGTTGGTTCCTCCCGAACTGGCCATTCGCCAATAGCCTCAACCCAACAGTCAGAAAGAGGCAGCTTCGGATGGGTTGTGGGCAAAACGGGTGAAGGTGGTCATGAGATACAAACTTCCAGTTATGAAATAAGTCAGTCCTGGGGTTTGGTGTGCAGCATGGTGGCACAGCAAAGGTGCAAATGAAACCTAAAATTCCTTGTGTCCATAAACTGCGTCTGTAACCAAAGTTTTTAAATAAATAAAAAGAAATAGGAAAAAAAGAAAAAAAGCAAGAAAGAGGCAACTGCCCACTTTCCCCTCAGAGGGAAGAGTTCTTTGCTGAGCGACAGCGGCACTTGTCAGTTCATTTATTTTCTGTCTCCTTTTACCAACTGCCTCAGCTCATAGATTGCAGCTGCCACACTATCCTCCAGAAGCTTTTCAAGTGCTTGTGCTCCCGACTGTGGAATATACTCAACTGGTTTTAAGACACTTCCTTAACGCCTCCTGAGGGAAGAGAAAGCAATGTGATGGATTGATGTTTTTACTGTATTGTATTATATATATTTTTTATTGTTAAGGAGGATTTGCATATTTATTTTAGAAGCAAAAGCATTTGGGCACATTGAAGAAAAATAGTGGATGGGATAATATTGACCTTTTTCAGAATGCCAGTTGGTGATATTTGAGCTAACAAATTTTCCATGAAACCAACCTTCTCTGAATTTTGAAGGCTACCTGTGAGCTTGGCTATCAGGACCATAATGTAAGCTAAAAGAAAATGCGCCCATATTTCTTTGGCTTTCCTCCAATAAAATGACCATCAGTTTGAAGGGGAACGCTGTAAAGGAGATGGCTAAGTTGCCAATACGCCAGGGAACGTGGCCAGGATGCTCTGAACATCGGAGTTAATACCCAAAGAACAGTAGAAAGAACAAGGGGCTGCAACTTAAACTGAGAGCAAGTCATTCTCTAATTTGCTTCTCTTGGACCAGATTTAGATATTATGATATCCTGTGCACCTTGTGGTTAGGTCAAATGAGTTCTAAATTCAATAAAAAGGACGAGGCTCTAAGTTTGAATTTCCTTGAGATATTTCTTCAGTCATTTCTTTCTTTCCGTTTTGCTGAGATATAATTGACATACGACACTGTATGAGTTTAAGGTGTACAGCACGATGACTTCACTTACCTGTATTGTGAAACGGCTACCAAAATACGGTTAGTTAACATCCATCTTCTCATACAAATACAAAAAAGAAAAAAACATGATTTTCCTTGTGATGAGAACTTTCAAGATATACTCCCTCAGCAACTTTCAAATACAGCATTATTGCAGCGTGTGTAATGCATACAGCAGTGTTCACTATAGTCGTCTTGTTGTACATGACACCCCTAGCACTTATTTATCTTGTAACTGGAAGTTTGTATCTTTTGAACACCTTCATCCAATTCTCCCACCCCCAACATTCTGCCTCTGGTAACAACAAAACCCATCTCTTTTTCCATGAGTTTGGTTTTTTTTTAGATTCCTCATATAAATGAGATCATACAGTATTTGTTTTTCTCTGTCTGATTTATTTCCCTTAGCTTAATGCCCTCAAGGTCCATCCATGTTGTTGCAAATGGCAGGATTTCTTTCTTTTTTTATGGCTGAATAATATTACATTGTGTATTTATACCACATATTCTTTATCCATTCATCCATCAATGGACATTTAGGTTGTTTCCACATCTTGGCTATTGTAAATAATGCTGCAGTGAGCATGAGGGTACAGATATCTCTTTGACATAGTGATTTTATTTCCTTTAGGTAAATACCCTGAAGTAGAATTGCTGGATCACATAATAATTTAATTTTTAATTTATTTTTTTAAAGATTGGCACTTGGGCTAACATCTGTTGCCAATCTTCTTCTTTTTTTTTTTCCTTCTTCTTATTCTCCCCAAAGCCCTCCCGTACATAGTTGTATATTCTAGTTGTAGGTCCTTCTGGTTGTGCTATGTGGGACGCCGCCTCAGCATGGCTTGATGAGCAGTACCACGTCTGCCCCCAGGATCTGAACCAGCGAAACCACAGGCCACTGAAGTGGAGTGTGTGAACCTAACCACTCAGGCACGGGGCCAACCCCTATTTTTAATTTTTTGAGGAACCTCCATACTGTTTTCCATGGTGGCTGAACCAGTTTACAATCCCACCAACAGTGCACAAGGGTTCTCTTTTCCCCACATCCTCACCAGCATGTGTTATCTCTTGTCTTTTAGCTGGCCATTCTAACAGGCATGAGATGATGTTGCTACAGGCTGTTTCTATCTGAAATGAGAAGTATACAGGTTAAATAGCAACCTGACTAGCAACGTCTTCCTTATCTGATATAAAACTTTCACAGCTACTGAGGCTGGCAATTCAAAGTGTATGTAATCTTTCCTTCCTCGTGTTTCTTTGCGTATTTTGCCCCTCCCTTAGGACTTAAGAACAACCCCAGTTCTGGGGAGTCTGGGTAACATCTTGCAACAAAGGGGTGTGGTTATTGTGCCCTGCACCTTGCTGGTCATAAAGAAGGAAAACCTCTGCATCAGCAGAGAAGCTTCCAGGCACCAGAACCTGCTATCCACCCCAGAGGCAGACAACCAAGGACATCTACCTGGGGATTCCCTCCTCTCACCATCCTCCTTCCTGCAAACAGCCTCACAAGGCCAAACGCAGGCTGGTGGGAAAGCACCGACCAGCAAGGCCACAGGCTCCTTGTCCCTACAAGCAGCCATGCTCCTCACAACCTTTAAAACCCCTTACCCACTTCTTAATGTGGAGCCAGCAGTTCCTAAAGTGCTAGCCTGCTACTGCTGCTCCCTTTGCCTGGCAAAGAAAATAAAGCTTTTTTTTCCCTTTTCACCCAAAATACTGTTCTCCTTATTAGGATTGGCACCGAGTTCAGAGACTGAACTTTCGGTAACAATATCTCATTGTGGTTTTGATTTGCATTTCCTTAATGATTAGGGATGTTGAACAGCTTTGCATGTACCTGTTGGTTATTTGAATATCTTCTTTGAAGAAATGTCTATTCAGGTCCCTTGCCCATGTTTTAGTTGGATTATTTGTTTTTCTGCTATTGAGTTGTATGTGTCCTTCATATATTTGGGATATTAACACTTTATCAGGTATATAATTTGCAACTACTTTTCTCCCATTCTGTATATTGTCTTTTCATTTTGTTGATCATTTCCTTTGCTGTGCAGAAGCTTTTTAGTTTGAGGTAGTCCCACTTGTTTGTTTTTTATTTTGTTGCTTGTGCTATAGATGTCATATCCAAAATCTTGTTGCCATGAACCATGTCAAGGAGCATTTTTCCTATGTTTTCATCTGGGATTTTTATGGTTTCCTGTCTTACTTTTGGGTCTTTAATCCACTTTGAGTTAATTTTTATGAGTGGCATAAGATAGATGTCTAGTTTCATTCTTTTGCATGTGACTACCCAGTTTTCTCAGCACCATTTGTTGAAGGGACTGTCTTCTCTCCATTGAGTATTCTTGACTTCCTTGTCAAATATTAGCTGACCATATGCATGGATTTTTTTCTGGGCTTTCAATTCTGTTCCATCGGTCCGTGTCTGTTTCATGCTGGTACTATACTGTTTTCATTACTCTAGCTTTATAATATAGCTTGAAATCAGCAAATGTGATGCCTCCAGCTTTGTTCTTCTTCCCCAGGATTGCTTTGGCTATTTGGGATCTTTTGCAGTTCCATATACATTTTAGGATTTTTTTTACTTCTATAAAAAATGCCATTGGAACCTTGATAAGGATTGAGTTGAATCTATAGATGCCTTTGGGTAGTATGGCCATCTTAACAGTATTAAGTCTTTCAACCCATGAATGTGGAATATCTTTCCATTTATTTGTGTTTTCTGTTTCTTTTACCATGTCTTGTAGTTTTCAGTGTAGAGACCTTTCACCTCCTTGATTAAATTTATTCATAAATATTTTATTCTTTTTGATGCTATTGAAAATGGTATCATTTTCTTTATTTCTATTTCAGATAATTTGTCATTAGTGTATAGAAATGTTACCAATTTTTCTATGTTAATTTTGTATCCTGCAACTTTACTGAAGCTGTTGATTAGATCTAACAGTTTATTGATGGAGTCTGGGATTTTCTATAAATAAAATCAAGTCATCAGCAAATATAGACAATTTTACTTCTTCCTTTCCGATTCTTTTTTCTTTTTAAAGATTGGCACCTGAGCTAACATCTGTTGCCAATTTTTTTCTTTTTTCTTCTTCTTTCTCCCCAAAGCCACCTCAGTACATAGTTGTATATTCTAGTTGTAGGTCCCTCTTGTTGTGCTATGTGGGATGCCACTTCAGCATGGCTTGATGAGCAGTGCCAGGTCCATGCTCAGGATCCAAAGTGGTGAAACCCAGGGCCACCAAAGTGGAGCACACAAACTTAACCACTTGGCCATGGGGCTGGCCCATTCCTTTCCAATTCTGATGCCCTTTATTTCTTTGTCTTGCCTCATTGCTCTGGCTAGCACTTCCAGTACTATGCTGAATAAGAGTAGTGAGAGTGGGTACCCTTGTCTTGTTCCTGATCTTAAAGGAAAAGCTTTCAACTTTTCACCACTGAGTATGATGTTAGCTGTGGGCCTGTCATATAT